CAAGAAACTAAAATGGAACTTATGGAAGGTCACCTTATCAGAGGTATTTGGGGCAATATTAGTTGTAACTGGGTTTCTCTACCAACTGTAGGCATTCCAGGGGGTTTGGTAGTCATCTGGGATACAGATCTGATTGAAGTGAAAGGCACAGAAGTGGGGCAGTTCTCCATCTCTCTATGGTGTTACTTATTAGAGGATGGCTGGGAATTCACTCTCCCCTCTGTTTATGGCCCTGATAATGGTTTGAGGGAAAGCTTCTGGACAGAGCTTGATGGAGTTAGAGAAAGATGGGAACATTCCTGGATTATAGGAGGTAATTTTAACACTGTATGTTTTGCCCATGAGAAGAAAGAGGGTGTGGTGACTTATGGAAGTGTGCGTCACCACACCCAGACACCCTCTTTCTCACTTCTGATAAATGGAACTTCTTGTGGGAAAGTTTTGAAGTGGGGAATGAGAGGGTGGAAGTAGCTCTTCTACAGTATGCTAATGATACACTCCTGTTTTGTGAACAAAAGTGAGCTGGTACCTACGGGGGAGGTGCAGGAACTCTCCCAATGGGCTGAGGAGTGGGGATGTAAGGTGGGAAAGTTACATCAAAAATACCTAGGAATGCCTTTGGGTGCAAGGTGCAACTCCAAATCTATTTGGGAGCCAATTGTTGAAAGAGTTGAGAAAAAACTTGCCTCTTGGACATTTTATCAAAAAACAAAAAAAACTTGCCTCTTGGAAATCAAAATACCTATCCTATGGAGGCAAAATTACTTTGGTGAAAAGTGTGCTATCCTCCCTTCCTCTGTATTTACTCTCAATGTACTCAATACCAACAGGAATGGCCAACATCCTAGAAAAGAAGATGAGAGATTTCCTTTGGAGACGTTGGAAAGAAGAGAAGAAGTTTCATCCAGTCAACTGCAACTAAGTCTGTAAACCAAAAACCCAGGGTGGTTTAGGAGTGAGAAGAGTAAAGGATTTCAATACTGCCCTCATGGGAAAATAGTTTTGGTGTTTTGGAGAAAATCAAGGTCTTTAGAGAGTGATCCTTTCCAGGTATGGTGACAGAAATCTAGGGTGGGACCAGGAACTGCTAAACAGTCCTATGGATGCTCAGTCTGGAAAGGAATTGAAACGGCTTATGGTGCTTTTGCAAAAGGGGTGAAGTTTAAGATTGGAGATGGGCTGAGGCCTGAGGGTGGAGTTCTGGAATGATGTATGGTGCAGTGAAAGACCACTGGCAGAAGCTTTTCCTAACCTCTTTGAAGTGGCAGTGGACAAGGAATCCAAAGTAGCCGACTATATGCAGCTGAAAGATGGAAATGTGATGTAGCTTCCTCAGTTTAGAAGAAATTTAAATGATTGGGAGGCGGATGCAATGATGGAAATGATGAACTTTCTTTATAACACAGAAGTAGAAATTGGAAGGGCCAACTATAGTGTTTGGCAATGGGATAAGACAGGAAAATTCACAGTCAAATCTTTTCACAATGCTTTAACCAGTAGAGAAGAGCAGTTAGTTCCCGCCAAAATCATTTGGTGCAAAAATGTTCTCTCAAAAATTGCTTTGTCTGGACTACTTAACCAAAATCCTAACCAGGGATAATCTCCTGTGGAAGGGCATGCTTTTGGACTTTTGTGTTCTCTGTGAAGATCACTCAGAATCTGTGGACCATCTGCTGTTACATTGTCATTACTCTTCTGAGATTTGGTCCAGAGTAACTAAACTTTTTGAGGTGCAAAGCTGTAGTCCAGGATCAGTAGTGGAGTTCTTAAAAGGCTGGAGAGTGGAGGGTCTAAGCAAAAGAAGAAAACTCATCTGGAACATAGTTCTAGCAGTGGTATTTTGGTGCTTATTGCAGGATAGAAATGCAAGAATCTTCAAAAATGAGAGTAGTTCTTCAGATTCTATTTTTCAGAAAATTCTGGGGAAAATGCATTCCTGGCTTATGGGCTATTTGTGCTTCAACAATACAAGTCTCAGCTCCCTTTTTGTATATGAATCTTTTTGTAAAGCAGGGTGGGTGTATAGTGCTGCCAGGGCAGTTTTTTTATCAGTCTCTGTGTACATCATCTTGTTGTACAAGTTTTGTTCTGCTTAATATAATTCTTACTTAACCTTGTCTCAAAAAAAAAAAAAAAGAAAAACATTGCAGTAGAAGATAGAACTTGTGTAATCAGCCAAACAATTTTATTGCTCTAAAGTCCAAATAATTCCATTATCAACTTTGTTAATTCTATTTCCCCTTCCCCTTCAACTTCTGGTCAAGTAACATATGTCATATATAAATATGACCCGTTTCTTGCTACTCTGTGGTAAACTGAAAGAAATCAATAGGCTTTGTGAAACCCACTTACATCTTGCCTACATATTTATCCATGTATTAGGAAATGTGTACTCGTGAGTCTTGCACACACTTTGAAGAGGTTACTTTAGGCAAATGAAGTGCCTTGAATTACTCCTTCATAGGAAATAAAATATTCCAATGCTTTAACATCTTAACAGAAACTAGTGAAGGGCATCCATGTCAGTAATGTTGCATTACAGCATTTAAATTGTCAAAATGCCCATAAAATGGCATAGATAGGGCGAGATACCTCAAAGCATTACTGTATCAAAACATCAAATAGTGATTCACAAACAAAAAACTTCTTTGATGAATAATAGAATGCTCATTTTTCCTAATAAATCTACATTTTGATTGAATTTTTGAGACATTATGACAGAGAACCTTGCTAAGATACACTAGAACATTTTGGTCCATGAGATGTTTGAGTGACTTAAGAGGCATATCAGGTTATTTACTTATGTAGCAGTTTATTATGGCTAAAATTTCAAGTAATAATGTGAAGCACATGTAACTCACCTCGTGTGACAAGGGAAACAGACCACCTCCAACCTGGATGCCTAAGCCACGGAGCAGTGAAGCCATATCAGTATATCGCCCTTCCAATTTCTCAAGTTCCCTTCTTACTTCAACACGAAGTTGCTCTTTCAGATTTATAGTTTCCTCATCCTGAATTAGCATCATTGAACATACAAAGAAGGGAAAGCAATTAAAAAACAAACAAAATCTTGGAAACATGCAAGAACTACATCCTATAATCCTAATAAAAATTTGAAGAAATTTTGATAGCTTAAAATTCAAGAAAAGAAGTGCATAGGGTACACCACAGAGAAGGTAAAGAAAAGATGGCCTTAACCAAGGAAATTGAGGAAAAAGAACTGAAACCAACCTTCTTTTGTGTTTCTCGCATTTCTTCTACCCTTTGCTTTTGCCTTCTCTCCATGTCCAATAAGCGCATAGTTTCAGCCCTTTTTCTCTTTCGTAACCGCTGTGCTTCTTCTGCCTGCAGAAGAATAGTTTATATTTAAGATATCATTTTCTGCACCACTTACAATTGATCTAAGATGCTGGAGAGCAAATAATCAAATAAAAGTCTGACAGATTGCAGTGGAACAACATGGATACTTACAATGATGCAGTTAAAAGTTAAACCACAAACTTTTTTCAATCAATAAACACATCAATTGGTTTCAGTCAAAGCAAGAAAACAATTCCAAATTTTGATTGTATTACAAATGTTGAATGTCAAATCATCTCCAGCAACCTTGTATGGCATAGTTATATTTGAAGAAATCAAAACATCTACTCAAATGAAAGGTAAAAAAAGGTTGAGAACTTGAGATGAATCTAAATTTTGAACTCTAATGACCTTTTTTTTACTTTGAATTTCCCTGCCTTGTTAAATATTTTTGGCATTTAACAATCAAAAAGAGCAACTTAAACCAACCCACCACATAGCTATCTACAATGCAGCCTCACATATTATATTATTAGCATATATTTGTTTTTCAAAAAGGCCAACCAGACATAGTTGGGTTGAAGCTTATTAAGTTCTCTTTGTGTCTTCATGAAAGATAATATTTTCCATGAGTTATTAAAATGAGCAGTAATCACGACTGATAAAAAACTGAACAGTAATCATGTGGCAAAGCCCAGGCAAATTTTATTCCATATTCATTGGTGATCATGTTTATGTTCTCCTGGGTTTGAAGAGTTTGTACTGAGCAGCTTAACAGGACAGTGTCAGCATCTGATTGTACTCCAATTCTCAAATGCGTAAAAATTGGATTCTGGACAATCACTGTAAGCTTATTTCCGATGCTCAAAGGTTAAACTTGAAATGCAATGGTAGAGTTGTACGTATTTGAATTGCACTTAACCCCATAACGAAATAACTTCAGCAAATTTAATGTACTTAGTGTCAGTATCACAATAATGGGATTAAAGGATGGATTCCCATCCTTAGGTTACAAGGGACATAGATACTAAGAGTGAGTTAGGCTACTGGATAAATCAAGTATGCTTCTAACATAGCATCTAAAGCCAGTATTAATGTAGAAAAATATATTGAAATAGAAAAGTTGTACTGGTAGAAATGAATTGGTTTCTTCTATTACATAATGTACTTCTAGAAGTAGCAGAATTTTAATGATTCAATGTATACCACACATTCAGCCTATCGGTCAATATTTTGGCCAACTTACCCTCAAGAGTGGTGGATGAAAATCATGTCAGATGGGTGGAGTTGGTTGGAGGACAGAGGAACAGATGCAAGTCTTATCTTTGATTGTATGATGTGGTGGGGTGCACAGCATTTGCTGTATTTTCTCTTTACTCATTGTATTGTTGTTGGCTCTTGTCTTCTCTTTACTCATTGTATAGTTGTTGATCAAAAAGATTTTTTTAAAAAGGTCCATTTATCATTTTGTATGACCAATCCAAATATATGAACTAAAACATAAAATACCATATAAATTTTTAGCAACCATGGAATTTCACCACATCAAATATGAAAGTAGAAGAATATGCCAAAATCTATAAATATTTCCATGAAACTAATGGTAAATCAGAAAAGTTTAAGTATGCCAAACCTGAACTTTTAGTTCCCGTTGTCTGGACGCCCATTCTTCTTCTGCAGCATGCTTGTACTCATCAGTTTCCTTTAACTTCTCTCTTTTACCAATTATATAATTCTGAACATCCAGTGTACCATCCCCATCCTGCATATGCAATGGAGGATTTCTCTCATCATGTGGTTGATTCCCATCCATGCGATTATCCTGCTTTTCATTTTGCCGAGTTTTGCACATTGATGTTTCCTCAACAAAAGCTTTACCTTTGTCCTGACAATTAGCTTTGTCATGATTGACTTCTAACTCATCATTCATTTGAGAGTTACAGGAAAACATCCCAAAAGTTGGTCCACCATTATCCACAGAAAAAGCTAAATCATGATCAAGCCCTGCTCCACAACATGGCTGTACTTTGCAGAAACATTGTTCTCCTGAAACTGGTTCCTCCTCAAAGCTAGCCCTTTGGTTTTTTGTATCATTTGATGACTGATTGTACGAAGGAGATTGTTCATCAAACTTGTCATCTTTCTCCCAACAAACAACAGTTTCATTATCAACCTGTTCGAAATGCTGGATGTTCTGAAAATAAGCCTTTTTGTCCTGGACGCTAACATTCCTGTGGATAAAGTCTGCCTGATCCACTGATTGGGTGTTGAACCAACAGGGTTCCTTGGCAATACTTGCTTCTCCATCCTGAGGACAAGCTCTTACATGGCCAAATCTTCTGCCCTGAAAGCCATCCTCTCTCTGAGAAAATTGTTTTTCCTTGTCTAGCATTCTATCCAGATCATCAACAAGCTTTTTCCCAGTGGGTTTGCAAGAAGTCCCTTCAGTAACACCATTAGTAACTGAGGTAGAAATCTTGACTCTTTCATCATAACCATTGCTTGAACTAGAATGAACTGGTGATTGTGCAGGATGGTTAGCCTTGTTTTCTACTCCAACATTCTTTTGACTGTCAGTATGAGATCCAGAAGAACTAGCCTGATCTTGTGTACCAAATTTTCCATGTTGAACACCCTCCATGCCTTTTTTCTTTAGAGAAGCTTTTTCCCACTGTTCACGTATATTTCCAAAAGAATCCTCCATAAGTTCACAGTCAGAATTGTCACTTTCAGAACAGCTCTCAGAAACAGAATTTTGAGTAAAGCAATTTCTGGGGACGGTTTTTCCAGAGTATGTCCTCTTGCATTTTGATAATTTCACAGGGAACTTTCTTTCCCAAATGAACTGACACTCATCACCATCTGATTCATCAGAATTATGCAACTGGTTAGAAGCATGACGAGACATCTTGCTTGAGGTGGCATCACTATCCCCATCACCACAACCTTCAACACCATTTCTAGGACTACCATCATTGCAGATTTCGTCATCATCAATGCTAATAACACTGCTAGATGGGATACTTTTGTCTTTCCCAGATATCAAGGTACCCCGAGGTGAAGGTTGAGAAGACTCTGGAACATCAAGGATAATAATATTAGCAGTATCGACATCAATGAAGACGACTGAATCATTTCTGTCTTTCTCTTTGCATCTTTCTAGGGTTCTCCTGCCAGACTGAGTTCTTGGTTGAGATTGACCCCTAGACATTCTTCTTTCCTCTTGTTTACTTCTGGAGGCTAAGAAAATACATAAAAGAGCGGAATTTTGCAGGCAAACATCAGTTGATAAATATTATTATTCACTGCTACTGCCATCTCTCAAGCAATTATAATCTGGAACGTCTTGGGACTTGACATATTAAATCTTGCTACTCTGGTTCTTTCTTTTTCCTTTGCCCCACTTGTATTTAACTGCCATCAGTGTTTGGGCAAATCAAATGCAGTAAATAGTTAAGGATCCTGACACGGTATGAGAACAAAAATTGAAACAATAAAAGAATAGAACTGTATGTCAAATTAATGGGAAAAGGGAAAATACAAGTAGACACAATGAAAGCAGAAAACAAGAGCCTTTGGTAAAATAAATTTAGTGAAGATGAATACTTCCTCTCATTTTAGAGAAAAACTTGGATCAGAAATGATTAAGAAAAAGATTCTATCAGTGCTGAAAGTATGGCCTTGCTCCAGAATCTACCACTAATCTTTACTATGGACTATGATTAGACATGTGAAAGCCTGGCCTCCAAGTCAGTACCTCATTTAGAGGAATTTCGAAGGTCAACCAATTTCCTAGCAGAAAGTTTGGCCAGGTGAGGGATCTCTAGAAGGCTTTAAATTAGGATTTGATACTCCAAGTTATTGGTTATATTGGGCTTTATGCATCAGTCTTGACACAGGAGATATAGTGAGGGATTTATCCTTTATATTAATTATTTATCATGGTTCTGCCCTTTATCTTTTGGTCAAGATTGTATGATTATGGTTATTATCTTCTCCGTTTTGATCCTTGATAAAAACCTATTTCTCAGCATAAAGATACAAAGCATTGGTCGCAAAGAGTATTAGAAAGGCAATTTTAAGAGATGTGTTGGGATACACTTTGGAAACACATGGATACATCAAAAAAGAATAAAGCTAAGGCTTAAATGAGTATAAATAGGTATAAACACATGAAAAAACATATTTTAATATTTTGTTGAAGTGTGTGCACTTAGGAAACATTGGGAAATGGTAAAAGAACTAAAACAAGAATATATACCTTAGGAAGCCAATATAAATAACATTAATACTTAAAAAATAATAATTTTCACAAAGGTGGCTTAAAAGTTAAAACTTAAAAGTCATGTTATGTTGACAAATTGCAATATAGAATAGTGGTTAGAATTCTTGCTTTTCACATGAACGACCCAAGTTCAATCCTTCATAAACAGCACATAATAGCATACAATTTTATAAGGAGGTAAATAGGAGTTTATTTGAATTAAAAAAATTAAATATAGGAGTTAATTATGGGAATTGAGTGGAGTTAATATCTGGAGAGCTAATGTGAGTATTGGCCAGAGTATCAGCTAGTCTGTTAAGTATCAAGGTTTGTATTAGTTGATGCTCAGCGAACAAAGACTGATAAAGTGGGTATATTGGCTGATACAATAGATACAGGTTAAATGGCACCAAAATTGGGTCATTTCATCCATGCCACATGCCCATAACGCAAATATATTAAACAGGCTGATTGGATCAATGCTTTAGACCGTGGTCAGCAGTCAAAAGAAAAAAAAAAAAAAACACTCATAAAGGAATCCAACCTTTAATTCCAAATCAATGTTTTGAAAATCGTAATCGTATTGTAAATCATAGAGAAAATTGAATCTTCGTATCGTAAATCATAAGATTATTTCTATTTTATACAAACTTGTCAAAAAAATTAAATATAGATATATTAAAAGGCTAAATATATAGGAAAGTGATTTAACCCTACTTTTCATCTATATCTACCATATATGTACTTAAAACAATAGAACTTACCAATTACACAATAGAAGTCTAAGATGATATAATCAAGTTTGAATTGAAATCAAACAAATCTATGTACAATGGCCCTTTAAGTTACATATGATAGAAAATAAACTCAACTTCTAGTCTTGAAGAATGTAAATAAGTCATTATCTAGTAAGGGCTTTAAATTAAAAGTCTCCCATGGAAAAACTAAACATAAACAAAGTAGAGAACTAATTCTTAATTGAATTTATTTGAATTGCAGTGAATCGTAAAAACCGTAACATTTAAAAACCAAATCGTAGGATTTAAACAAAAATCGTAAGATTTTTGCAGAAAAGGATTCAGATATAATATTCGAATCGAAGCCCTTGGGATTCATGATTCAAATCGTGAATCGTATCATAAATCGTAAGATTTTGACAACATTGTTTCAAATAACCACATTACTTTAGAATATTTGTGTTTAACAAAACTCACAAGAAATCAAACTTAGAAACATGAACCAAATCATATTTCCAAGAAATATCCTTGTTGTCATATATATTCATGTTGCTTTGCCTTCACATATGTATAGCAGCATGGACCATGGAGTAGGAAACTGTCGCTCAAAAAGGTTGTATACTTAATGTTTTTTGCTCATATAGCAGTTGTTTTTTGTTTTAAATAAAAAAACCATACACATTGGCGAACACTCCCTTAAAAATTAGCTATAACCCCCTATCTGCATGAACCATTTCATGATGTTTTTTTGTCTTTAAGTGCCCAATTTCATATATCTTTATCTACTTATAATATTTTTACCCCAAATGAGTATGAAAAAGGGCATCATATGTGCTCCAAAAAAAAAACTTTATAAACCTTAAATAAAGCCTAAAACATATAAAAGGTAACATCCCAGAACTTATTTAGTAGCGGGCAGGGGAAGAAGGAAAAAAAAAAAAAAAAAAACCCATATTTCCAAATTATAGACAAAACAACAGCATACAAGCAAGGAAAGACAAAATTGAATTGAAATTAAACGAAATTCGAGCACCACATAACATCATCAACAAATATACCCGGAGAAGCCGGGAAAAAGAACACCATTATGTCTGTTTCATGCTTATCTTAAAACCCCAAACATGACCAGGAAAAAAGAGATTCACTCCCCCAGAAGGTAGCCCAGGTTTCAAAACCAAAGTCCCCCAGCCGCCACCTCTCCAACAATCCAATTCAAGCTAAGGGCAAAAGTTATTCATACAACCACTTCTTTGAATAGAATAAACAAACCCTAAATAGAAGAAAAGTTTCCAAATCAAAAAGAAATATAAAGAACGAAACCGCATAAAATTTGGAGAATTTAGGTCTAATGGAATAAGATTAGAACAGTTCTTCCTATCGATCGAAAACGTCAGTAGGAAACATGAAACAAATCAATTCCACGAAAACGGATCGAAAGGACTTACTTATTCAGAGAAACGTTCACCTTTCAAGCCTTTGTTCGTTGGTGCCTCTTCTTCTGCTTAACCAGAAGGTCCAGAAGACCCAAAAAGGAAAGACAAAGAGTAGGAGAGAAATTAAATGGAGTTGTCTAGCGAAAATGAAATTCCGAGTCTGCGAGAGGCGAGAACCCAAAGGCCAAGTGCTACGAAACGCGTCTGTACGGAGAACTAACGAAAGGCGTACTGCGCACGGTAGTATAGACTACCTAACGGCCGAGGGCTCGTGTCAAGGTTCAGCTCCAATTTTATTTCTTTGTTTAGGATCGGAAGTTTTCCTTGTTTTATTTGTTTTTTATGATAAGAAAATTACAAAAATCACCCGGGTTCGATCAGTGATAATTATCTCTCAACTTTTATCTTTGACAAAGACCCACCTATATGGGGTTAGTGGCAATTACCCTTATGAAATTTTTTAATATGTGAAAAGGCCCTTTAAATTTTTACTTTACAACAAATACCTTTCATTAGAATTTCCCTAATTAAGTTTAAAAAAATCATTCAACTATTTAAAATTTTTAAAATCCCCAAATTATCCTTTTCTTATTTATTGGAATRATTTATGATTCGATTAATTTTTTAAATATAATATTGCAAATTTATGGTTGGACTCAATATTCAAATGAAATGGTATAGGTTTCTGTCTTATAAATTTAAGGTTTGTTTGGTTTTCTTAATTATTAGAGAAATGAGTAGACAATTTTATATCTTAAGATGAAGAGAGACATCCATATCAGTGAAATGAAACAATATTTTAAATAAGAAACTTGTCTTTCTATGTCAATGAAATTATTCTTATTATTTTAGTTGGTTTCAATTTGAGAAAATAAAAGTATTTTTGGGTCAATTAGATTTAAGAAAAAAGGGCAAAGAAAAGAAAATAAAGAAAGCTCAGGTGGACAATTTATGTCCATGTGATATTTGTCACGAAGTGAAAGTTTAGATGGTTTTATTGCAAATGAAAATTCATGGGATAATTGTGACTTATCCTTGTTAGCACAGCCTCCTTGTCACATTAGTCTCCACTAGCTATGATGTTCTTTATGTTTATGCACAAACAGTTATAACTGTATACAACTACTCAAAAACATGTAACTGTCTGATTGTTAGTTTAAAATACAATTCTCGGCAACCACCAGAGGATTGATGTCTGCCTAACAACAACTTCTGTTACTTTCTATTTTGTTATTATGGTATCAAAGCATTCAATGGACCAACGTCCATGACTTCAGAAGGAAAATCTTCTTCAACTTCCTTTCTATTATCTCAAAATACGTTATACGATTACTCTCTCTCTCTCTCTCTCTCTAATTTGGCAAGTCTGATAACAATAAAACTAAATGGTAAGAATTACCTTTTGTGGCATGCACAATTCATTCCACTTTTGCGTGGCCACAAACTCATGGGCTATGTCAATGGAACATTCATTCCCATGTCCATCTCCTTTTCTTTCTAATAAAGAAACAAGCGAATTCATCAATGAAGATTCCTAATCATGCTTTCAATGAATGGAAAACCCAAGATCGATCAGTTTTTACTCAGGTGTTTGCTTTCTTCTCTTACTGAAAGTGTGTTAGCCCAAGTGGTGGGGTACACTGCATCTGATCTCATGAAGTTTGGAGTTGCCTTGAGCGCCCATATGCATCACCATCTCGTGCTCGTGTTATGCAGATTAAATACGATTTGATTCATCTTAAGAAAGGATCAGATACAATGACAGAATATATTTACTAAAAATCAAGAAGAAATTGAGCTGATCTTCTTGCTACTGTTGGAAGTCCTCTATCCACCCAAGATCTCATATTATACACTTTTGGAGGTTTAGTCCCTGAATATGAATCTCTAGAGGTCTCTGTCACAATGAAAGAGCCGAAGACCTCACCATTGAAGAAGTTCATAGTTTAAACTCCCTCTTGAAACAACAGTCTCATGAAGTACTCATGTTGCTTGCTGCTAAGACCCCTATAATGTCGACACCCACCAAACCAACTAATTATAGTGGTAATGGTTATCATGGTTGCAGCAATACAGGTCCATATAATCATCCTCTTGAATTAATATATTCAGACATATGGGGGCCATCTCCTATTGCATCTACTACTGGACATCGTTATAATTACATTATATTTGTTGACAGTTACAGTCACTTCGCATGGCTCTATCCCCTCCATCGCAAATCTGATGCCTTGTAACAATTTCTTCTTTTTAAAACTGAAGTGGAAAATTTGTTTAATTGCACGATTAAGTATTCGCAAACTGATGAAGGGCGTGAATACAAGAGCTTTAAACCATATCTACAAGAAGCTGGAATTGTTCATCGGATATCTTGTCCCCATACTCATGCTCAAAACAGATCTACAGAGAGAAAACACAAACATATAGTCGATACATGTCTCACTCTTCTATCTCATGCCCATATGCCACACCATTATTAGACTGATGCTTTCCTCATGGCTACTTTTCTTATTAACAGGCTCCCCACGCCTTGGACATCTCTCCCCATTTGAAAAGTTATTTGGTACTTCACCAGATTACAAGTTCATGGGTGTCTTTGGTTGCGATTGCTATCCTCTCTTGTGACCTTATAATCAGCACAAATTTGAGCCACTCTCTATCAAGTGTACATTCATTGGGTATAGCCCATCTCATAATGGGTATAGATGTTTACATGTCCCAATAGGAAGAATTTATATCTCAAGAGATGTACTATTTGATGAATCCTCTTTCTCCTTTTCCTTCCACACCACATCTATTGCATCTTCAGCATCTCAATCTTCTATTCTTGGGCCACCACCTGTTGTCTTCCCTTGTCCTTCATCTAGTGCTCCTACAATCCCTTCTTACCAGCAGCCTACATTCCCACAATCTGAATCCCCCCTCCTAACCCCAATTAATGATAATACACTTCTTGTGGAACCTCATAGTCTTTCCTCATCTGTGGTACCTTCAGCTCCACTAAGCCCTTCCCCACAGAACTCTACCCATCCCATGACAACCCAATCTAACCCCAAGTATGCTAACATTGCCTCTTCTTTCATCCCAACTAAACTGTCATGTTTTTTCACAAGCAGAGAAAGACCCTCATTGGCATGGTGCTATGCTTGATGAGTTTAATGCACTACTCAAGAATCATACATGGAGTTTAGTACCCCCTCCCCAAAACAAGAACATTATAGGCTGCAAGTGGGTGTATAAGGTGAAGAGAAAAGTCGATGGTTCTATTGATCGTTGTAAGGCATGCTAGGTTGCCAAAGGATTTCATCAAAGAGAAGGCCTTGACTTTGTTGAAACTTATAGCCCTGTCATTAAGCCAACCACCATTTGGTTGGTTCTTACACTAGCCCTTGCTCATAACTGGCCTCTTCGACAACTGGATGTAAGTAACGCTTTTCTGCATGGTTTTCTTGCTGAAAAAGTTTATATGACCCAGCCTCAAGGATTTTTTCATCCTCACTTCCCTAATCATGCTTGCAAGATTCATCGTTCTTTATATGGTCTCAAACATGCCCTTGTGTCTGGTTTCACCGTCTTTGTGACCACCTTCTTTCTATTAGATTCATGGAATCACGGGCTGATATTTCTCTCTTTATTTACCGTTTAACTACCGATGTGGCCTTCGTGTTAATTTATGTCGATGACATCATTCTCACCGGTCTAATTCTATGCTTCTTCAACACCTTATCAACTACATTTGTTGTTCATAATCTTGGCCCCTTATCCTTCTTTCTTGGTTTGGAAGTCCGCAAGAGCAATTCTCAACTTCATTTATCTCAAAGCAAATACATCACAGAACTTCTTGCATGCTGTCACATGCTTAAAGCTAAATCTGTGAACACTCCTATGGCTGTTTCTACTACACTCGCAAAGGATATTGGCTCTCCACTTCCTGATCCAACTATCTATCGGAGTGTTGTTGGTGCCTTTCAATATGCTACCATTACTAGGCCCAACATCGCCTTTGTTGTGAACAAGGTATGTCAGTATCTGCAATCTCCTACAGAAAGCACATTGGGTTGCAATCAAACGCATCTTGCATTATCTCAAAGCCACATACAACTATGGTCTCTCTCTTCAAGCTTCCACCTCCTTACAACTTCATAGATTTTTTTATGCTGATTGGGCATCTTGTCTTTATGATCGTAAATCTCAAGGGGCATTTTGTATTCTTCTTGGACCTAATCTAGCTAGTCTCATGGAGTTCTAAGAAGCAAACGATAGTATCCAAATCTAGTACTAAATCTGAATACCGAAGTATGGATTCTACTACTGTTGAATTGAGTTGGATTCATATGTTATTGCGTGAATTGCTCTCTCAAGAATTGCCTACCTCCATTTTACGGTGTGATAATCTAGGAGCTACCTACTTGGCTTCAAATCCGGTTCACCATGCTCGAACAAAACATATCGAGCTCGACATTCATTTTGTTTGTGATTGTGTTCAACATAACGCTCTTGACATTCACTTCATATCGTCTAAAGATCAACTTGTCGATGCTATGATTAAGCCATTGCATCATTCTCGGTTTGCTCTTCTCAGATACAAGCTCATCGTGCTCCCTATGCCTCGCTTGAGGGGGGATGTTAGCACAATCTCCTTGTCACATTAGTCCCCACTATGATGTTCTTTATGTTTATGCCCAAAGAGTTGTAACTTTCTGATCGTTTGTTTAAAATACAATTCTCGGCAACCACAAAGGGTTGATGACTGCCGAACAACAACTTCTATTTTTTTCTATTTTGTTATTAATTCTATATATAGGTGGACTTGTTGCAAATAAAAATTAAACAAGTAATTGTCACTGACCCCATAGCGTGGAGGGGTCTTTGTAATATACCATTATTTATATGTGTGATTTTCTTCTTTTAAAGTTAAACAAGGTGATGTATGAAAAAATTGGTTTCAACGTGGCACAAAATGTCAAAATGCCAAACAGAAAATTTGACATGTTGATGTAAAAAACCAGAAAATGTGTCTTTGTAAACACTAGTTGATCTAAGACCTGTATATGTTGAATTCATTTAAAACATAAGCTTCTCATGCTTCTTGGGGCAAACCAACTTTCCCAATCAGTCAAAATTAATTTTGATGGGGCATTGGATAATGCTTTTGGAGGAATTGGGCTTATTATCCGAGATTATAAAAAAAAAAAAAAATTAAGTGGGTTTTTGATAAAAAATATATATATATAGGTTTTATTGGAATTCATGTTTGCATTCATTA